ATTTGCGGAAAAACTGTTTAATATTCATTTGAGCTGTCTACTGCTGTGTTTAAAAGCGCTCTCAATACGTATCTGCTGTCTGAGACTTTCAGCTTTATTTTTTCACTTGTGTACAATTTCTAATTTGTTTAATTGGATACTTCTATTACTTATGAGCACCTGTGAGTTATGTGATGGCCAAACTTTGCGATCGAAATAAATATAAATCAAGCATATTTTGAATGAAATCAATAAAAAGCTTTTAATGGACATTAAAACACCCAATATATTCACTGTTTACATTACAAATGACATACGCATTTGCCATCAGGACCAAGAGAATGTCAAACCAAGTCCCTATATTGATTCTGTTTACATTAGACTTAACATTTCAAAAATAATTCAACTAATTTTCAGAATCTCAAACTCAACATTTTCAATGCATTTTTTATAAAATCAAACATGTATATATGTGCAAGTTGTATGACGAAGATGTAAACCTGTTGGCTGTCAATCAATGTGTTGTGAGTTCGAGACCAATGTTGGTCAAATAGCTTGTGTCAATTGGCAAAATATTTTTGTGTAAATTTGGCTTCTCTTCACCCAGGAAAAAAAAATAATAAAATAGGATAAATGGGTACCTGGTAGGATGATAAAGATCGGCAGGTATTTAAGATTTTTGTTTAGAAATGGTTGACCATATGTGGCAAAGAAAAGCCAAACCAGTCACTCGTCGCAAATCCTGTTTTGGAGATAATGGCCAAAACATGCTGGAATTTCAAAATTTTGTAAATCTAGTTTATTGCACTAAACTAACCTTTATATATCTATACATCATGCTATGCTGTTATTTTCCTCATTTTCAATGTTAAAACAACAATTTTTAATGATTTGGTGATGGTTTCTGGTTAAGAAATGCCTAAAATCGTAAACTTTGAAGGTTGATTTCTAAAATATTGTTTTTTATACAGCTGTATGTTTAAACTCGTGTAACTTTGTAACGAAGTGTCGGATTTAAATGATTTTTTTACCATTTTATAGCTCTCATTGTACTGTTAAACCTTGTATTAATAACTAAAAATTGATTTTTCCGACGAGTGATTGGTTTGGCTTGTCTTTGCCACATATACACTGGTATGTTCGAAATTAAATTTAAAATTAGCTTGTATTGGAGTAAGCCTACAGTACCGTGCCACCCTCTTATTTTTTCTATCCTTTTTCTAATTTTTGGAGGGGCAGGGCCTTATCCCAAGGCTTCTTTCCCTGGATCTACCCTTGATCAAGAAACAAGTTGGTTGTTCTGAATTTTACGCATAGCTAGGTATACTCCACAGGGAGTGTTGCTGGCTGCATGAATGAGTCTGTAATCAAAGTAGTTTTTATCTGAAATGAATATGTGCACTATATAAATCTTAATTAAAAAATATAAATATTTGTCTGGGTCTCTCAGAATGTGAAACCATAGGAAAAAAATTCATGAAATTAAGAAGTTTACCAAATTGAATCTGAAATCCACATGGAGTTGGGCTTTAGATTTACTACGTTTTGCTTCAACTCCCAGGGTTCTCGGATTATTCCTTGTAAATGACAGAATCATCAGATTTTTTTTCGCCACAATGCACAAATGATACCTTCAGCTTTGTAGCGAAACAAGAGCAATACACAAGTGCTGGACTTTTGCTTCACTGGGCAATGATGCTTTTAATCAGGTCATGACTTTAATGAATCGTTAATGAGTGGATACATAGATTTGATGGTATAATTATCAGCCTGTTTTAATACAATAAATTGTGATTTGTGGTATGGATTTAATCTTCAAAAGTGGTTGTAATCATTTTTGTGCCTGTAATTAATCCTTCATATTTGTATTAATTAAGCACCCTGGGCATTTTATCACAGCATTGGTGAGATTGATTTGATGAGATGATTTGATATTATTCAAAAAGCTCTTCTATGAATTATTTCAATTTTAGGTTCACAATCATCTCTTATAAATGAAACATCCTTTGGTCTGCATCCTGTGAGAGTTTATTTAAAATATAGACAAGCTCATAAATCATTTCAATGGATGTATTCACAATAAGCCAGCACAGTAAATGAAAACAATCCAGCCATGGCTTTAACTATTGGCTTTATAATAGCTAGCCAATCTGTTAAAACGGTATATCCGATGGCATAAGTCTATGCTTCTTATTAATTGTGTTGGTGATTTGTCTAATTCTGTTATTGCAAGCTGTTAACAATAGACCCTTTAAAAATAAAACCATCTTGCATTATGTTCAAGAATTTGATAAAGAACTATTTTGAAATAATACATAATATACAAATGTATAGTATAATTTATATAATATATTTTGCATATTAAAGTGCAAGAGTGAAAATGGTTGCCCTACTAAAATTTGAACCAGGGACATTCTGCTGTCTGCACATATGTCTTAACCAATTCTATATTATGTTCTTTGTAAATAGTTTTACTAGCATTTTATATCTGTGTTAATTTTACTTCATATAGTTTATTGTTGATATAGTGGTTTTTTATGTATATTATTTGTTTTAAAGTTGTTTAGTATAGGAGAGCCACTTAATAGTGTTTGCAATCTTCAGGTAATGAACATCTTGTTTGTTACATGCTTTGTCTTGCATTGCTACTACCTTGATATTGAATAAATAAAACGGAACTGGGCCACTGGTGCTTGTTTAGGAACTCAAATACGATTAGCACAACTCATCTTTCACACTCTCATGTGCATTTAAAATTGAACAGCACTAGTTACCGCAAATAAAAGCTATCATAGTATATACAGAATAACAGAAATCACAATATACATACACTTTAATAAAATTAAAAGATAGATGAAAACAGAAAGAAGCACCTTGAAGTATTTGATCAATAATCCCTTGATTGATATAATTCTCTATTTTTGAGGCAGTGACTCGACCTGTATACCCCTTAGATATTTTTGTGGAATGATGCAAATAATTGGTCAGAGTTATCAGCTGACTATAAGCCGTATAAACATATTACCTCGAATAAACAACCAAGTGCTTTCTGTTTAGGTAATTAACCTTCCATATTAATTGATTTTCATACTATAGGCTTATTGATTGCAGTTTGCCTCCTCCAGAGGTAGGAGGTTAGTCAATAGAGAGAGTTAGGATAATTATGTGTATCCACAAACATTCAATGCATTGGATACAAAGCGCACATTTAAATTTTGCTCGCATCCATCATAATATTTAATGGAGTTATTTCTGTGAAGGAATTAAACTGAGAATACGGTATGCAGCTGACAAGAGCAAAAATGCTTTGAACACCACAAATCAGTCACTGATCGACTATAAGCACTTCTGACACCATAGTGAGTCTACAGAGCTAATTAATATGTCAAATGCAGTTTATATCTAACACATTACTATACTATGAGGCAAATATAACAAGTATTTTTGTTGGTTGTATAAGAAGAAAACAATAAATTTATTATTAATATTAGACACTATAAAAAGTATAGTTAATTGTAGAAAGTTGAGTCAGAAGGGGGAGAATTATGGCACTAGAGATTTATTAAATAAAGGTAACTGTTTATTAAATAGCTGATGCTCATTTATGTATTAATATCTTAAAATTAACTTAACAGTTAAGGATTTAGCTGTCAACCAGAATTGTTGCTGCCAATAACAGATAAATACAACACTCAATTTAAGCATTTAATACAAAAGAAAGTAAAAAGAAATAAATGGTTTTGCTCCATGTCACCTTCTTTAGCAGACTGTACTATGATGAACGTAAACTAAATAAAAACATTATGTTTTATTAATATCTGATGCTCATTTATCTAAAGTAGTATCAACTTAAGAAACAATTAAGTGATTAACTTCCAAATAAAAGTAGAATCAGAATTGTTGCTGCAAACAGAAATAACACTCTTGGCTGATAATTAGTTCAAGCATTTAATAGAAGAAAAAAAAGTCAGTGAAAAAACCAAATTGGTTTTAGCCAGTGTTAACTTCTTTGAATCATTTAACAAAAGTTTTAGAATGTTTAAAACATTTTGTTGTTATATATATTACCTTACAGTATTCAATAAGGTTGGAAAGAATAGGTATTTCAACTAAAAGAATGGAATAAAAAATATAATTTTAAGACATTTGAATAGATACGTGGAATGATAAACCATCGCCTTTTGGAAAGATATTAAAAATTTCAACAGAATTCTGTTTAAACTACATGTCACTATTAGTCTCAGTAAGCTATCAGTATGTTGAGCATAGCTTTTATGGGAAACATTTGATTCAATTAAACCACAGTGAGTTATATGCCACATGTATTTGGTAACACACATAAAATATGAATGCATAAATACTCAATCACAACTCATATACATTGCAAGTATCTCTCATCACATTACAAATATGAATATGTTTCTATTGCTATTATTTATAACTATTATTTCCTATTTCTGCCTAAATGTCATTGTTATGAAGTGATCATTAAAAATACACAATACGCTAGTTATAATTTGAATTTCTGTGTATGACTCTATTAGCACTGACTTTTTAATGACACTATAACAACTTATTAAAAAAATAACCTGTTCATTGTTCCACCATCAGAATTTTAAGTATAAATCTTTCACATTAAGTGTAGACTTAATGATTATCTAACACTTATAGTTTCTAAGGTGTATTGCAAAATTTTAAAAAATGCTTTCAAACCTTAAACTAACAGACTAGCTTATGAATATTACTGATATCAACGTGATGCTTTCAACAAGTAAATATTAAACACTCTCAATTTGTACTTGCTCATTTAGTAGAAAGTATTAGCTGATTTTTCCTCATTTACATCCAAGAGCAAATAATATTTTCAATTATAAAGAAGTAGAGAAAACTTCTATTTTCTTCAAAGAACAAACTATTTTTTCAGCAATTACAATAATAATATTAATAAAGGAATATGTACTGTGTCTTTTGTCTAAGGATATGAGGGATGCTTTCCTGAGGAAAGCAGTGGTTTATCTTACCTTAGGATCTGGACTGATTGTGGTTTGTGTAGAATTGTTCTTTTGCTCAGATACTTCAGTCCTTGTTACAGGGTGTTCATATTCCTCTAGATTTTCAAAAAGTTCAATGAGAGAAAATATTGAGTCCTTGGGGTCATTGACAATGGTTTCTCCAGTATGCATTTTCGAATCTGGATCAGTTTGCATTGAAGAACTAGAAATTAAGCCATTCATATTACGATATAAGTATGGAGCAGCGGAAAAGCTGTCAGCAAATGTATAATCTAGCTGGTCTGAAATATCAGGGCTAATAGAGGCTAGATCAGGTTCCATTGGGTGAGGTGGTAGCCGAGATGGTTCTGACATCTTTCGAGTTGGCAATGTCTCTGGTTTTGAATCGTAATTTGGAATGTGGTTCACATCTTTAAATTCATATTCTTTTGTGCTTGAACTGGCATCATTATGGTCCTGCATTTTGCCAGTAACTGACTGCTCAGATGGTCCTGCCATTGAGTCGAGTCTATCAAAAAAGTCTGAAGATCTATTTGATATACGAGTCTGTTGATTTCTTCTGCCAGGTAGTTGAGATTTAATTTCAGCAAATGTTCGAGCTTCCTGTCCTTCTTTTGGGAAACTGGTTTCATTCTTCTTGCAATAAAAGCGAGCTGCATGGCGAAGGGCATTGAATGATACTTTTCCAAACAACGGACCAAAATACAATACTCCTCTGTGATATGGCACTGCTATTGCATTCCTCTTTGATGGCTTTGCTGTTGATTTCCTTCCAAAAATACCTAATAGCAGTGTACTATCTTCTAATTCCTTCTCTGCTGTATCTTGAAAACTTTTAAAATATCCTATAATGGAACCATCATCTTTTTTCCCTTCCTCTGGTTCTCCAAAAATTCCGAAGAATGAAAATGCATCTGAATTGTCTGTTTTTTTCTGGTCTTCATTTCTATTTTTTGCTTGTGAAATTTTTGGCTTTGCTTGTTGAACATCTGCTCCTCTCGCGAACCTTTTAAGGTTTTCCCTAGAACCCAAAACAGTCCTCGGTTCTGGCAAATCCCTGCCGACATAACTAAACTGTGTTGGTTTGTCTGGTCTTAAACTGGGCACCCAATGTGGCATAGACGAAAAAGGTATGTGATGTGTATCAATATCACTTGACCGCCTTCTTGCAGTTGAAGTACGACGAGCATTGTGGCAAGAAATTTCATAAAATGATGTATTCATTGGTCGCTGCTGGTTGATCTGTTCAGTAGGCCTTGATATCAAGTCCATCTTGCGGTCAGCAACACCATTCTGCTTCTTATGATCCTGATTATTACGAGGCACTGGAACTTGGTAACTAAACACATTAGTGTCCCTGCCTATGGTGTCAGCATTACTTGTAGGTGACATGTTTCTGTGCATCTTGTGGAAATTGCCAGACTCATTCATAGTACTTGATTGTTGAGACGTTGATGAAACGGCAGATTTTCCATTTAAACGTCTACTTGGATGCTGCTCTGGATTATTGCCAGGCACTGGAACTTGATAATTAAATACATTAGAGTCCATGCTTGTATTTTCAGTAGTTCTTGTTGGTGACATGTTTCTGTGCATCGTATGAAATTTGCCACACTCATGCTGATGCCTTCCCTCATATTGATAAGAATTTGGTTCACTGCTTGGCTTATATTTGCCAGTGCCTGATGAATTCAATGATGCTTTTTCTGACTCTGTTAGAGTTCCATTCATTTGGTGTCCATTCATTGAATTGTATCTTCCATTTCTGGTACCACTGTGAGAAGCAACTGATGCCACTGAATACCTGTCATCCCGCAGGTGGGATGTTCTGCTTTGCTTAATACTGGAGTATGAAGGTGGTTTTCCTGATGGTAAAGATGCATTGCCCCGTTGACCACTATTGCCTCCATCTTTGTCCAAATTTGGTTGAAATTGGTGAGAAGCATGTGGTGCTGAATCATATATTGGCTGGCCATAATTTGCTCTTGTACTTTCAGGATTTTTAGAAGCAGCATCATCACTTTTGAAAAAGAATCCAAGTGGAGAAGCTTCAAGAGTTTTCATGAATGTCGATTTATCCTCATTCCCAGGCTTACGGTAGCTAGAAGTGAGATCCTCTCTTGTTAACTTTGCACTTATGGGTGGCATTCCTGGGTCCGAAGGACTTTCAAAATATTCAAATCTTGGAATGTCTTTCACTTTATTATTAGTATATGATCCACTCATTGTAGGGCTTGGAGAAGAACTTTCAAATCCATTCTCATAGGGAGGAAGGTCTTCTTCTGGATGAATACTGGTGAGTCTGTCTAAGAACCTACCAGGTTCTTCAGGATCATATTCATCTGGAGTACTATACCTGTCAAATGATCCAGTCAACTTAGCACTACCAGAACTATCTTGTTTTGAAAGAGATGCTCTTTGATTGCTGCTACCACTGTCAGTACTTTGGTAAGATTTGTTACTACCATATATGTCTTCGTTTACAATCTGAGTGGTATTGCTATTATTATTGGTTCCATCTGGTTCTGTAGAATCAAAGAAGCCAAACAACGAAGATGTCTTGCTCTTTTTCTCGTTAGAAGACTGATCAGAATAAAATATGTTTAAGGATGGAAGCATGATCATTAACACATTTCATTTTAATAGGCTGATCAGATTGTCAAGCATTTATACAAAACCTGCTGGCCATCCAAATATGTAATAAGCATTTTCACTGCCAAAGCTGCAACCTTTCACATTGATATATAGCAAGTCAAAGAAATGTGAAAATGTTCTGATTGCAGCTAGGTTTGATTTATAAGTCCTCTTGATTTGTTTCTAGAAAATGTCTACAAGCATTTTTTCAAATGTAATAAATACTGCTAAACCGTTTCCAAACAGCTCCAATGGAAACAAGTTGAATAGCCGCAGCCAGAAATATCACCCGCTGTATTCCTGTTGTGGGACAACTTGTATTATTCAAGTATTATAACAAATTCCAGCTTACCAATTATTTTTAAACTCAATTAATTTTTGTTCTGGTAATTGATTTTGTCAAAATCAATCTAAAAATTCCCCATAGTGTTTTACTGGTGTCCTGCATATCAAATGTTTGTAAACTTGAAGTTTAGATGCTTTTTATCTAAAATAAAAAGTTGAAGGCTGTCGAAATTTGAACCAGCACTATTATCTTGCTTGTGTATTATCACTGGAAGTGCTTAATTGATGGTAAGTGCTATAAAGTGCTGACTGTAATTCATCCACGGTCCTCTCCAGCAACTTCCAATAAAATTAAATGTATAAAGTATGTAAGACAATACCTCATTCTGTTGAACAAATGCTGTGTGCATCAAGCTATCAGATAACAAAAACATTGCAAACAGTTTGACGAATTTCAGCAAAAAATATACCGAGATCCAGTAGTCTGTCGCTGTCCATTTCAGATCTCATGGAATCCATTAATAAAACATTGCTTGATATATGCCAGCAAAATCCAAATGAATTATCCATTACATCGTGTTAACTGTATCTTGTAAATAATTACATATAATCTTTGTCATAATCCAGATATAACATATAATCCCAAGTGTTCTCTAGATGGAAGCTGTGAACAAAAGTTGAACTGAGCAATTTTAAATCAATTTTTTATGGTTTAAAAAACACATTTGCAACTGCTCATCACTCAAAAAAAATATGTAATCCCTAGAAACAACCTCCTTTAATGACACAGTTTCACAAAGTACCCGCACAAACAGAAGCTCTCAGCGAGTGTGTTAACTGTACTGCGGAAGGCTTGGCATGAAGATTATCTGGCCCTCACTGCGAGTTAGGCGGTAAGCCTGATTGCAAAATGATACACAGAGAGCCGAGCGAGCTGTATTTGCATGTCAATCCAATATTGATTATTGCCACATGCAGCCCTAATCCTGAATGAGAGCATAGGATGATTCGCTGACGAGTCAACACTGCCTGCTCATGCTCGTGATTAATTAACTTCACCAATTAACACTGAACAACTTCCCGCACCTCTCATCACAGGTGTAAAACTAACCGATTTGGTTTATCCTACAAAATCCTAAATGTCAAGTAGACTACTCTGCTTTTTTTTACGATGAAATTTGTGAAGATGCAAACATTTCCAATCAATCATGAAATAAAAGATTCAGTGTGGTAACACAGTAACAATGTTTATTCTTCACCTTCAAGCGTCTTAAAAAAAACACCAGCTAAATACATTGCTTTAGAATCGTTGTGCAAACAATAGCAAAATAGCTACACAAACCAACTCAATATCATCAATAATTAATTCATGTTCTATCTTATTTAAAGTTCACAAAAGAACCTTCAAAAACAATATTATTTTTAGATAGTATTTTCTGTATAGCATTTTCATATGCCAAACTGATTTATATTTTCTAAACTAAGATGGATGGCTCCACTGATATAATAAGAACTGGATTTGGTTTATTCAATGTTTTTATTTTAATTTTCAGATTAGTTTTTACTTCTATTATGTCATTGAATTATTATTTGTATAGCCTTTTGAATTTTAAATTGCTTTTTGCAATTCATATTAATGTTTTGCTTTAATCTTTCAGTATTTATTTTTATATAAGATTGATCTTAATGTTTGTTTTCTTTATAATTTAACTGTTTAAACCAAATAAATCAAAACATTGCTTTAAAGGATTTTTTGATGATAAAAATATGTGAATATTGGTAATAGAATTAGAAATTTTTCTTCATACTGTCTACCAGTGTAAAGAAACTGTTTTGTAGACACAACATTTTAACTTAATGCTATAGATATATTGTCATATTTGGTAAGAGGAACAGACCCCACATAAAACATAATTGTCTCTGTCTCTTATACACATCTAGATGTGTATAAGAGACAGCATTGAAGGGACTTTGACTGGTTTAAGATGGGGTGGGGGGGGGGGTGAAAATGAAGAAGCGAACTAAATCCCAATGACAACTTAATGGTCATTTTTAGTACAGTTCGCCCTCCAATTCGAGACAACATTTGTGACATGAAAATTCTGGGTGGTCTCGGGGTTGGTCTCCAATTAGAGGGCTAGCTTTGTGTTAAAAGGTAGAAGATTATTATTTGGGTCTTTGGAAAAGTGGTCCCAAATTAGAGGGGGAGCAGGTTCATCTGCACACCCCCTCCCCCAGCCGACGCCCATGCATGTAATGCTATAATTATACATTGAAATATCAGAAGGAAAATCCTACATTACTAAGTTTTAAAACACTGCCTAGAAATTGTAACGAGATCTAAATTTCCTGATATATGTATAATGAGGGTATGATTTTATAGAGAAATATAACATATATTACCATTATTAGTACTGCTAAACATGATCTCCCATTTAATAGGTTTAAAAAGAGAATTCTTGGTGATTTTAATGGAATAGGTAATGGGATACACTGTATGTGGTATTTTCTAACCCTATATGTATACTGTATATTAAAAATAGCTTTCTTAAGGAAAAAATGTATATTTTCACATTATGCACCTCCTAAAGTAATATTAAAAAAAAAATTATTAGACATATTCCCTACTTAACAAATGTGAGAATTAAAATATGATTGCAATTTTAAAATTGTAATTGAAGTTTATTAATAAAATAGTAAGACATTAAAAATCAGCCAAACCATAAAGAATAAAGAGGAGGAACAAAACATGAAATTAAAACAACACAGAAATAATTTTAAAATAAAGTAGTTCTAAGATAATACAACTCAAACATATAGATCTATATATTATATTTATATTTTAAATATTTTATGAAATTTAATGAAATCACCTGATTGGAAGGTGTGGACCCCACCAGAAGGTCTGTCATATAAAATAAATCTCAATATTTTCTACAGTACAGGAATAGTAAACATATTAATACTTGCATGGAATTAATATTGTATATGAAACAACATTACGTACCGATAAGTGTAATATTATTATCAACTCATGGAAAGCATCAACACCACTTTACATATCTATAGCGAGGCCTAAATCAATTACCGAATTTACTCTGATGTCATTACAGGAATGAAATTGATCCATTATCACATTTGGATGTCTGGCTATTGATGAGGAAATTAATGTACCTAGAGTAACCACTTACCAGACTTTATAAGAATGCTCATATTGTAATTTCCAAAGCACTCATAATATCCTTGCTATTTAAACTATGACATTACTTATTTGGATGTCTGGCTATTGAAGAGGAAATTAATGTACCTAGAGTAACCACTTACCAGATTTTATAAGAATGCTCGTATTGTAATTTCCAAAGCACTCATAATATCCTTGCTATTTAAACTATGACAATTACTTAATGGGATTTTTCCTAGACAAGTACATTAAAAAATGAAGATGAACATTGAAGATCAATAAATTATTAAAAGTTAGTATTATTTTACATTAAAAGGTTTCTAATTAATTTTTTATAGTATTGCAAAATTCCACACCCTTATATTACATAACCTGAGTGTAAGTCTGATTCTTATACTGTAATAATAATAAACATATGTTATTTGCCAATTTCAAATGATCAAATGCGCGAAAGTATACATAGAGCATGAATTGAATAGTAGAGTAATAAATAGAAATGTAAAAAGACAATTTAGTTACTTAAAGTTAGTTACCATTGTTTATTGCTGAATAAATTGTTTTTTTTTAATCTATAGTGATTAATTATTATTCAGACTTAAATTCAGAATTAGTTTCAAGCTGAAAATGGTAATGATTTGCTAAAATTGGATGGAAATTTTTAAAAATATGATATTTCTTATTGATGTAAATTTTATGTTTTTTTTTTAAATTTTTGAAGTTAATAAACATAGAGTACACTACAAGCATATTTTTTTTGCGCATTGGTGTATGTATAGTTATGGATATAAGCATAGGTGTGGTATGGGTATATATTATCCATGACAATAAAATAAATATAAGTAGTTTAGCACACAAAACAATCCCTTGGAAAATATACAGTAAGTATGGCATATGTTATGTATTGTCTTAAAATAGAAATTCTATGTTATGTATTGTCTTGTATAGAAATTCTAATCATCCAGATTAGTCACGTTATTTCAAATATTCATAGAATATCTTAATATTATTTATGAGCATCGACTTAGAGAGAAACTGGCCTGTAATTGATGAACCCAATGGAGTGAACATTACAGAGTAAATAATGAACAGTCTAAACTAATTCCTCCATGGTACAGCATATAGGTAGACGTGACAAATAAGACATGTATTGACGATAATTTCTAAAATTGGTTGATATTGTATGTTTAAGAGAAGAAATAATTACATTGCCACCTTCCTGTAAATTCAATCAAGCAAACATTATTAGGTTTTACACCTAAAAAATATTTTATTATATTATTTTTAATGGCAATTATTTTCCTTTACGAATTTTAGAGGCAAATACATGGCACACACATCCAGGAAATTTGTATGTATGCAGTCACTCATTAAGGACTAACAGTTTCCTTTAGATAGTCCCCACCCTGAATGATATCACAGATGCAATTATGGAAAAGAATCCTGGCCGTAAAATTGGTCCAAACACCATAGAGCTGACTCAGCCATTGTAGTTAATTAGTAACAAATCCAGGTAACACAATCAATAAACACAACATTGTTACACAAAAGACATCGACAAGTAACAAAGAAATAGCAACTAATCCACTGGACAAGCATATTCTATCATTGTTGTTTTGTGGTCCTTTTATTTCCCTTGATAATTTTATTTCAATATATTTTATTGAACAAATATACATATGCAGATAAAAATCCTCAATGATTTTAGTAAATTTTAGGACATCTTTCCTAATAATACTATGTTATTATATGACCAGTATTTATTTGTATGTTATGTACAGAAATAAAACAAATGCTATAGTTTCTATTATTGCATATAGCCAGTACATGGGGGATTGTTGGCTGATAGTTTTCATTGCCGCTGTAAAACAATGTAAATACACCCTCATATAATACAAACTCTGGAATAGACCTTCCGCTATATAAATTACGAACAATCCTCTCTATTGTATTAAAATTGATCTTCTTCAATAATTGTTAAATTTTGTGCAACTTGGCTGATTAGCAGGTATTCATATGTCAGTACAGTAAAGATCAAATAATAATAATAGAAAGGAAATATCTCTCACAAATAGAGCAAATATTTAGCTGGAAAACATTTTGGTAATATTGAATGCCTTCATTAATTTTGGCTTACTATTAGTACATAGTCAAATAAACATAAATAGTAATTGATAAACTTTAAATTTAACTAACATTTATTTTAATCAATATTCAATTAATATTTATAATCTTTACTTTTTATTTAAGTTTGCTAAACAGGTATCTATAATGTAAGTAAAAAGTCAACATGAAACATATTTTCCTAATTACAAAAAAAAAAAATTAATAGAATTACATCAAATATCAACATTTTTCTCCAGGGCAATTATCAATGTTCATAGAAATTATGGATTCTTTTAATAGAGGTGCAATCACCTATTCTCTGTCATTAGCTTTCTACTAACTGGATGATATAAATAGATACTGTAACTACTGTTGAATATTAGTATATACGGAAAAAAGAAATGATTGGTTATCATCATCAACATCATGGACATGTTGACAGCCATGAAATTATGATGTCATTCTTGTCCATGTGCCAAGACAATGCATCCATACATATAAATATTTTCCTAAATTTTATTTAACAATGTACTATTCTAAGGTCATCTCTAATCAGATTTTCACAAGCGGCAAGGAAACTTTGGCAGTAGGACACGTTCCAAGAAAAATGTGCTTGGCACGAGCTATCCAATACCACAGGACTTATTAAGTACTGACTGTGTCCATAATGGAGGTTCGACTCTATACCAAATTAAAATGTCTTTCATGTATTTTAGTAAGTTATGAGTTCTCAAACATAAATTAGAATGAGATAGAATTGCCTTTGCCAATTAAGGGATGCATAAATAATATGTTTCCTGTACTGTAATTTTTATGGACCTTAAAACTGACTGAATAATTTTATAATCAATTGTAGTAAATCAGCAAAACATATATTTTTTGGGATGTTCAAAAGTTATTTGATGATTTGAAATTGAATATCTCATTACAAAGGATGTTTTCATTTTATCCTTTGAAATGAGATGTTCAATGTAAAAATTGTCACTTTTATGTATTTTTTTTTAAAGAGTTTTTTCTACAATCAAACAATTTTAACTTCATGGGAAGTGTACTCACTTTCAGTGACTTGAGTACTGTTTTTTTTTTTACACTGTTTCCCCTAAAAAAATATTGTTCAAGATATAAATTTCAATTTGATAAATTTTAAACACTGGCTTCATTAATGCATATTATTAAGGATGACACATTCTTTGAAGTTATAGTAGAATTTTTACTTTTTCTTATTTTTTAGGCAGATAGAATATCAATACAAATTTAACATAATATTAATACAAATTTAACATAAGGTAGCACACAGAATGGTATAGTTATTTCGATGTATTTTCGTTACAACCACATCTTAGATGAGACTATAATACAAGATCATGTTTCACCCAACACATGATCACTTATAAATCGCTTATTATTTATGAAACGTTGAAGGTCATTAATTATTATTTTAGTCTTCCCGGTACTGCCCAGCCAAGTTTTGTGGCGCTGACTGGAATGCGAACATTTTACAATATAATTGAAACACTGGATCCAGATCTTCTTTTTATCCTTCTGCCACTAGGGCACTCAATGATAGTTTGTAGGTTTATTTTAGGTCATGTTTTTCTATCTCACTTTTCTCACTTGCTTTGCATGAGCCAACTCAATTTCACTGTATTTCATTATGTTATACAATGACAATAAATACTGAACGAATGAATGAACATTTTCGATGAAAGCAATCATAGTGATGCCTTCTGGAAGAGCCTATGATGTCATTATACCTGCAAAAGTCAATCAATATACAGTATTACTTTGGATGCATTTAAAACATTTTTTTTTTATATTAACAGCAAATGACTCACCTACTAGATAGATAACCTCATTGAATCTCTATAAGCCTGGTCTCATTAAAAGGCTTTAAGGAATGCAGTGTTGAGAACAAATCTTGGGATTTACAAGATTATCTTTGCTCTCTTTTTGAATCTAATAGCGTAATACACTAATAACGGGATAAACATAAATTTATAAAATTATGTAAATTCCCTAAATACAAAGAATAATATTAGCAATAACAAAAAATTACCAATTATAATATAATTTTTAATATAATAATAGCAATATATATATATGCCATGTGTATGTTTCCTCCTCAACACTGTACAAAGCAAGAAACCTATAAAGTGGAAAACTGAGACTGGGAATAACTATTATTGGTAATCACCATTATTATCATAACAATACAAATAATAATATGATCTACAAAAATAAAAAATTATATATAAATCAATGACTATAAAACAAATAAAATAAGTACCTTATTTGACTAACAAACAAAACAAGCTTAAGTACACTAGGTCAAGTAGCTTTATCAGGTGAAGGAAAATAACAACAGCTTGAGCTACAGTAGGGAAATGTTGTGTTTCAAATAAACTAGTTATTAAAAATGTCCTACCCTTTTTAATTTTTGTAATATATTTGATTAATTTGGCCACTAATTTTACTCAAATTTTAATTGATTAATTAACACTTAGCTATACTGTTAAGCTAAAACTTCCCATTTAAATTAAGTTATTACCTTTCAATTATAAATAATTATAGAATGTCTTTCCGGCAATCGCACACGTAACATTGTTTCCATATACTGTATACAGTACTTCAGTACTCTTAAAATTGTTTGATAATCAATGACTTAAGAAACTGTTATGTATTATTATTATTATTATTATTATTCTTATTATTACTATTATTGTTATTATTACTATTCTTTTTATTACTACTATTATCATTATTAAATTTTGCTGCACATTTTTGTCACTGCTGTTTGGATGTGAATTTTCTATGATTTCTTGTATTTTTTTACTATTTAACAACTCAGTTTTGTAATTCTGATTTAGTTCAGCAATATATGATCCTTATATAGTACAGATCCTTAACTCATCTGTTATATTTTAAAGGTTTTCTAGATCTTATGGCCAATGGTATGTATATAGTAGAATGAAAACACAGTGACAGTTAATAATCAAAACAATGTGCAGTTTTACTGACACATCAATCATAAACAGACAAATGATTTGAATGCATCATGTTAGGCTTGAAGGGTTAATACATTTATCCCCCAAAGTTACTAAGCAAATTGTTGAATATTATCTGTTCCAATTTATTATCAAATTTGAAATGACGCCCATTTCTGATTACCATAATGAAAACAAATCATCAGTCATAACATACAATGAATGCACTTACAGATGGTTCAATACTGGCACTAAAATTGATTTTGGATTAAGTGTAGGCTTTATATTGGTGTTACTCCAACCATTAACTAGCACATCCCACAAACAATGCTGCAACTCTAATAATACCTGCAATCCACATCACCACTGGACAGATATTTTGCAATAAACTAATAACAAAACATTTTCTTGAGGACACTTAAAAACCAGGCTCCAGAGAAAAAATAAAATTTCAAAATGTTGTACAACTGATTTTTCTAAGACACAAAAATGGTGTTCGACAAAAAATCAGAAAAAAGGGTAAAATTCCTTTTCCCCCAGTTTTTAAATATTTGAAAATCTGTATCTCATTAACCATTCTCGATTTTTTCATCAGAGATAAGATGCACAAATTCATAACTAATTTCAAAGTGAATTAAGAAAGATATTTAATAAAAAAAAAACTCATATTAGAGAGTTATCTTATAT